CCCTTCCCAGCTCCTCAGGAACTCTCCATTCCCTTCCCAGCTCCCCCAGCCCCTCCTGGGGCTCCGTTCCCTTCCCTGGACACGCTCCAGCCCCTCCCGGATTTCCACCTCCATCCCTCATTTTCCAGTTTCCAAGCACGGATCAATCCTGGCTCTGTCTCCAAGGTGCCCCGCAGGAGATGGAGCAGGAAAACCTTTCCTTTGTTTGCTCCGTAATTCCCAGCCCAGAAGGAACAATGCATCCCATGGAAACGTCCTTCTCCTCCAAGATGAGGGAAAAGCTGCTGTATCCACCTGGATTTCAGGGTTTGGAAAACAACGTGGTTCCCTTCCTGCCGGAGCAGCAGCACTCTTGGTTTGGAAAGTATTCCTTGGGTTTATTCCATGGAATGCTCTGAGCTGGAACGGTCCCACTGGGATCATCCGGGCCAATCCCAGCTTTTCCTTAGCACTGGAGACTCTGGATTCCTGCAGCTGTCCCTGTTTTCTGACCTGTTGGGAATCCCAAACATTCCCAGGCGTGGTGGTGGCTTCCCTGCTCCTCTTGGATCCAGGTGGATCCAGGAGATTCCGGCTCCCAGGTGCTCAGTGCCTGGAGAGGGCTGAGGAAGGAACAGGAAATTCCTCCTGGAATATCCCCCCTGGAGAGCTGCTCCAGCTCCGGGATCCAACATCGGGACCTGGAGCTGATGGAGAGAGCCCAGAGGAGGCCCTGGAGCTGCTCCAAGGATTGGGAGAGCTGGGAATGTCCACCTGGAGAGGTGGAGGATCCAGGGAGAGCTCAGAGCCCCTTCCCGATCCCAAAGGGATTCCAGGAGAGCTGCAGAGGGACTGGGGACAAGGGATGGAGGGACAGGAGCCAGGGAATGGCTTCCCACTGGGAAAAGGGAGCTTGGGAAGGAATTCCTGGCTGGGCTGGAATTCCCAGAGAATCCCCGGATCCCTGGCAGCGCCCAAGGCCAGGTTGGAGCACCCTGGGATAGCGGAAGGTGTCAAGGTTGGAACGGGATGATCTTGAAGCATTCCATGAATCCAGGACAAAACCGGGTAACTCAGAGCCATTCCAAGCCCAGCAGCGGAGGGCAGGTCAGGCGGGATCCTGGGAAGGAATCCCGGAATTCCTGCCTGTGGAGGTGCTGAGCCCTGGCACAGCTTCCCAGAGAAGCTCCTGTCCTTCCTCGGATCCTTCCCCGGCCGCTTCCCCCGGCAGGATCCGAGCCAGGCGGAATTAAAAATTCAGGAGTCGGCCGTGCAGCGTTCCGAGCGTTCCATAATTCATCAGGGCCCTGCTCCCTCCCTTCCCCGGCATTTCTGCCGATGGAAAAAAAAAAAAAGGGAAATTTTCTGGGTCATCCGTCACTTTATCAGCCCTGAGGAGCGGCTCCGGTTTCCAACCCCAGCCAGGCCGGGTCCGTAGCTGGAGCTCGCTCAAATCCTAGGATCAGCGAGTCCGGGATGCTCCAAACCTCGGGATCCATCGGGCTTCACATCCCAACTTCCAGGGATTCGTCCTATGTCCCTGAGGCGATTCCAGGGACACAGGAGGGATGGTGATTCCCACAAATCCGATCAGGTTTTTCCAGCACTGAAGTTTTCCAAGGGCAAATATTCCAGCTGTCTGTGCCAAGAGCATCCTCCAGTGCAGGAAATCCCGGTTTTCCCTCTCTGCTCCCTCAGCCTTTGGATACTGTTTGATCCATGGGCAAGTTCTGCTCCTGAAGCCAGGGAGAGGCTCTTTTTTGGGAATGGCATCTCCATCCATGGATCCATCCATCCACCCATGGATCCATCTATCCATCCATGGATCTGTCCATACCTCCATCCATCCATCCATGGATCCATCTATTCACCCATGGATCCATCTATCCATGGATCCAGCAATCCATCCATTCCATGGATCCATCTATTCACCCATGGATCCATCCATCCATGGATCCACTGATCCATCCATCCCTCCCTCCAGCCATCCATCTATCCATGGATCCATCCATGGTTTCCTTTATCCATGGATCCATCCATCCAGCCAGCCAGCCACCCATCTATCTACGGATCCATCCATGGTCTCATCTATCCATGGATCCATGGATCCATGGATCCATCCATCCATCCCTCCCTCCAGCCATCCATCTGTCCATGGATCCATCCATGGTCTCATCTATCCATGGATCCATCCATGGTCTCATTTATCCATGGATCCATCCATGGTTCCATCTATCCATGGTCTCATCCATCCATCCCTCCCTCCAGCCATCAATCTATCCATGGATCCATCCATGGTGTCATCTATCCATGGATCCATCCATCCATCCATCCATCCCTCCAGCCATCAATCTATCCATGGATCCATCCATGGTTTCATCTATCCATGGATCCATCCATGGTCTCATCTATCCATGGATCCATCCATGGTCGCATCTATCCATGGATCCATCCATGGTTTCATCTATCCATGGATCCATCCATGGTTTCATCTATCCATGGATCCATCCATGGTTTCATCTATCCATGGATCCATCCATGGTCTCATTTATCCATAGATCCATCCATGGTTTCATCTATCCATGGATCCATCCATCCATCCCTCCCTCCAGCCATCCATCTATCCATGGATCCATCCATGGTTTCATCTATCCATGGATCCATCCATCCCTCCCTCCCTCCAGCCATCCATCTATCCATGGGTCCATCCATGGTTTCATCTATCCATGGATCCATCCATCCATGGATCCATCCATCCATCCCTCCCTCCAGCCATCCATCTATCCATGGATCCATCCATGGTTTCATCTATCCATGGATCCATCCATCCAGCCAGCCAGCCACCCATCTATCCACGGATCCATCCATGGTCTCATCTATCCACGGATCCATCCATGGTCTCATCTATCCATGGATCCATCCATGGTCTCATCTATCCACGGATCCATCCATGGTCTCATCTATCCATGGATCCATCCATGGTCTCATCTATCCATGGATCCATCCATGGT